GAAGAAAGCTTGGTTCCTTATGACTTCCAATTCACATAGTCAAGTTTTCAAATCAAAATATTATATTAGCTATACAATCACAGGAACACTGTTTTCAGTGTTATGTCCTAAAACCACATCTCGTGCATTTATCAGCCTGCCACACTAATTCAAGGGTAATGCTGTGGAACTCTAATTTGTGTAGAACAACAACATTGATCTCTGTAGTTCTTACAAGGTCTTGACCTTACTTATTAAACTAGTCCAACTGAAATTAAATCACCACATGAAAAGTATTCTTCATTAAGCATAACTGTGAAGAAGAAGCATTGCTATTTATTTTCAAGGTTTATCTTTATTTTACAGATAAACGATATTATCATATGGCAGTTATGCCCATGGAGCAGCTAGGCCTAAGTGTTTGCTATGCCAAGCACTTCTATTGCTGTTGAAAGAGTGCTTTATAACAGGGACTATTTAAGTAAGCAATACCAGGCCAGTATAAATGAGATTTATGAAAGACTCTTCAAACTATTTAGAGCCTATTCTTTCCATTTTGCGTGTGGAAAGGAAGTGGCATTCCTCTAAAACAGAGGATTTCACAAGAGTCTCCTCTGACCATGGGACCCACACCGACCCACAGCCTTTCTCTACATTCGCTGACCATCCGTATCTGGCAGAATTGTCTTAAAGTTATATATGGGTGCTGCGATGGCAGTGCAGTGTACAGACATAAAGCTTTATTCATGAATGAATCTCATGCATGCCAGACTTGAAGGAGGATCACCTATCTCATTCAGACATTTGCCAGTGCCATGTTATGCTTTCTGATTAGGTTTTCTCATGAATTTGCTCACGTGATTAGCAAGACAAATGTGAATGAGCTAGCAATGATAGAGATGTGATGGAAAGTAACCATCTATCCAAACGTGACGTCCAGATTGGACTTACTTTGTCATGCATTTTGGGTCATGTTAGGTATAGCTTCTGGACTTCCTTGCTCCTACGGAATTACTACTATTCCTTGACAATGGGATAAAAAACTATTGAGTAATAGTAGGGAAACTGCCATAATGTCTCTTTACAGATTATTACAAACATATACTTTGGAAGTGGATGACTAAAGAAATAAGCTTATACCAGGCCTGAGTATCCATTTTAACTATGTCTGATGAAGATAAATCAAAAAAAGCCTAAGAAAATATAAATTCTACTGGGCTGCTATTATGTATGCTTCTAATCAGAAAAGGAAAAATCTTAAATACACATGCAAACGTACAAAACAGGACAAAAGACCAGGTTTCCTTTCCTCTTTTTGGTTTCAGGCATAAGACATGCAAATGTGGAAGGAAAGAAATATCCCTCTAAAAAGAAGAGTCTTGGAAAGTTGGCAATATATAAAAAAAAATCTTAAAAAATAAAAGTAAGGAAAAAAAGCAACATCAGTGCTACCTCAATGTTTCACTACAAAATGAAAAGTAAGGTATAGAGAAGGCAGCAGTCACAAATTTTTTCTCTCTTATATTTTTATCTCACCTCATTCCAGATAACTTCTGGTCAGCAGCTTCATTGCCACCTAGGCCTCTCTTAAGGACTAAGAAAGATGTGAAAAGAGGTAGCATGACTGGTTCCACTGAAGCAGCACCACCAGTTCCACTGGCTCTGTCACGGGGAGGGACCAGGAGCCTATGTAGGGAATGACCTACAGGATTAGAAAAGATCATTATCTTCATGAATGTGGTAGGTTATTTTTGTGAGAAGAGGAATAGAATCATCTACCACCTCACAGCACTCACATCCACTGTTTGGTTTCTGTAAATGTTCAACAAACATCAACAAATGTCAATGGGTTCCATTTCTTCCACATGAAAGAGATCAGTTCCACACCTTTGCTTCATATGCCTTTCCATGTCGCTCCATTTTGTCAGACAGCCCCTCTGCTCCATCTGTCAAACAGATGGATTATTGGTGGAAAGGTTCAATCTCTACTGCCATACCATCAACATCTGCTTCTGACTTTGTGGGCCAATATTATAAAATAGGAGGCATTAATTTCAGAGCAGTCCTCATACTTCATGGTATCATGTTATGGCTTTCCAATGCAGCTTACTGATCATGTAAGGCCCCTAAAGGGTTCTGTCCATTTACAAAATCAATTAATAATGATCAGTAGCCAAAAATGGGAATGGACTGGGAAGTGCCCGTGCCCTTCAGATGGGTACACTGGCATTTTCTATAGAGGGGAAATTGGAAAGAAGTAAGCATTTCTAAAAATGTAGATTTAAATTATGAGTTAAACTACTTTCAGCAGCATATGGACCCCAGATATTATCTTTCTTCTGAACTCAAACATTATGCGTCTCCAAAAAAAGGAGATTACAAGAATGGAGAATAGATGTTTTCTGCATATGTTCTGCAGGTATTTTTGAAGACGAAAGCCGGAGCTGAAGTTAGAAACTCCATCGTGGAGTGAGACCATGGTGCATACTGATACCTAGCCAGTGAGGCATGCTCATGAGGAAGGAAATAAGGCAATCAAAAGAGTGGTTTTCCCTCTTCCTTTTTCCCTCTTACCTTTTCCTTTTCATACTCTTGTTTGCTGGATCAGAGTTCCTTAGTTTTGAAATGCTGGGTGTTTGAGGAAGAAACTACTTTGTGAACCTTACAATCTCAGGCACCATAAGAAGTGCAAATAAGGGAAAGTGCAGATTTGCCATTTTGTTTCATGTATTTTATGTATTGAGACAAAGAGCGCTTCATCAGCGCAGACTGTTCTCCAATATTTCATGTATCCTATTCTCTTCTTTTGCTGCTCCTCCATAAGAGCTAATTAAAAGAATAGGAATAAAAGGTCAGCTTTTCCAGTCATAGCTTATTAGTGAAGTCTCCAAAAGATGTATGCAAGGACCTGTAAGAAAAATATCTGGCAGAGGAAATATTGAAGTAACAAATAATACAAAGCTATTAGGAAAAGTACACGCTGTAAAGAGTTGTAAAGGGATACGATGATACTGATTGTGTTATAATATGGCAAGTATGTTTCAGTAATAATAAGCATAAAGTGATGCTAACTTTAGATATTTAGTAATGCCTGTTGGATTGGCTCTTACCTCCCAGAGTAAAAGATTTTTGGGCTCTCTAAAAACTTCAGCCCAGAGTTCTGTACAGGTGAGGGCAAGAAAGATAGTCAAATGTATGGAACAGGCAGAAAGGATAAATTGATGGAAGTCCCTGAGATAATGAAAGGCACTGGGAAGGGGAATAGAGAAAGGTAATTCAACCCTTCTTGCAGCAGTGGAACTAGTAGACATCAATTGTAACTAATTCTAGATGTCCTTTGTTCCTTGCAGGGGAGCTGATGGATGACATTAAAAGGTTCCTTCCAACTCAAAAGGTTATATGTCGGGTTTGAAACCAAGTGTGTAGCTGGGCTGAGCAACTCGTAAACACATGAATGCAAAAAAAAAAAAAAAAAAAAAAAAAGGTTTAAAGATGCACAGAAATTAACTATACAGGTTGGTGGAATAAATATATCAGAAAACAAATCATGACAGCATAAGTGATGCAATTGGACACAATGAGTATTTTTTCTTTTACAATTCTCTAGATCCATTGCAGGGAAAGAGAGAAAAAACTGTAAGAATGCTCAGTCTGACCCAGCAAAACTGCTCCTGTGTTATTTCAGGAACTGGAACATACATTCAGTTATTCTTGTTTGTAATCAATACAATATGTGGAGTGTACACATAAATGTGTGTGGCAGCTGGCAGCAGTTTCTGTGTCTGTGGTGGGAGATGTTCAGAGCAGTGCCACTGCTTCCCTGTCACACCTCGCACACTGTGCCCTTTGGTGCTACTGAGCCTAAGAAGAAGGAAGAGAATTCAGAGCTTCTGGGTCTCTCTCTCAGTTCTGGTAAATTTGTGCCAGAAGATGGTAAAATGTATTTCCATGAAATGATGAGACCCGTATTTTGTGGTTTGGTTACATTCTTCTGTGCTGCACTGATTTAATTTAACCAGGCTTTCACATTTCATTAATCCTCATCACTTCTTCACTCACTGTTTTCTATTAATGTTCGTTCATGTTCTCCTTGTTGTACAACTCATCAGTTCCTTCTTATTGTGCTGGTACATAATTCTTTACCAGCTTTCAGGGATGGTATCAAAACTGGAGAGAAACATTTTTTCCCTCTTTTCCTGTTTGTTTGTTTCAGAAGTGCTCGCACTGACATGAATAGACTGACTTTCCTTGCGCATGAAAAGAGAGAGAGTTGGGGTTTTCTGTTTTATTCGTTCTGCACCACACATATTTTCCCCACCCACACCCTCACTCACTTTACACATGCTCACACACAGAGGTGCTTGTATACTAGTGACTTTCAGAGAATTTCACTCAACTTAGGAGAATGTGACCAATGGCTGGGATGAAATGTTTATATTTTCATCATCACGAGTCATTTCCACCAATCTTACCATCACAAGTGGGTGTTTCTGGGAAGGGTGCTAAAGCATCCATCACTCAGCATTTAGGACATTGAAATAACGGTACTGAAAGTAGAGCTATGAAGAACTGAGGTACACCGAGTTGTCACAATCTGTTCGCTGCCTGCCCAATTTAGTCCCATATTTTAGAAGCAGAGCAGCAATTTAGCTGATAGATGTTGCAGTCTGCATTTTTTCTGCCTGTTCCTTCATTGGTAATGTCCATGTGGCTCATAGCTCTACCTCACTTGCTGTATCTTTAGACTACTACTACTCATACGGGAACCCACACATAGATAGCTCGTGATTTTGTGAATAGTGGGATTTTTCTGAACCTGCAGCATTTCTCTTAATTGTTCTCCCTAAGCTGGATGTCTCTGCAGATAGAAGAGTGCATCTGCAAGTTTCAGGATGTGCAGTTTCTGTTTTACCCGTTTGTGGGTGAGGTAGGATGAGTGTGGTGGGGTAAAGAGAAGGAGAAGCAGTCTCCAGCATCAGTAAAGGTTCTGGTACTTCACATCAGTACCTGCTTTATTATAGGTTCTTCTATTTCAACACTGACCTGAGGAGAAGCTCCAAGGGATGAAAGGGTTATTATGCGACCAGACACCTTGGGTCACCTGGGGTAAATTACCATTGCCTCTTAGTTAAGTCCTCGTGTTCTGGTGAAATCAGTGGAGCCTGTTTTCACTGGTGCAGTATCTGAGACATCAAGTTTAATGAATCGTTACAAATGATTTAATCTGCACTTGCAGGTGCTATTAAAACTTTTTTTTTCTTTTCTGCCAAGACCTTTTTTTTTTTTTTTTTTTACCTAGGAAAAGCAATCTTTCTCAGTCGCAATGGTTTAAATAGGGAGTAACAGGATAGGTTTTGCTCATTAGAAAGCCTGATGCTGGCTTCAGTATTCCCTTCTGCTAAAATTACCTCCTCCAGCATTTAAGACTTTAAGTTGCAGGGGATAAAACATAAGGCCCTGGTTAATTGCAAATAAATAGTGCCAGAAATATGTACAGATGGTACCTGAAGTTCACTGCTGAAGACTATCCAGTAGACTATATATAATTTGCACGACATGTATATGCAGGAAGCAGGAGAACAACTTTTTGTGGTTTCTCACATTTGTAAAAAAAAACAAAACAAGAAAAAATCAAAATCATAAATGAACACTCTCAGCCTGTGAAACTTCTTATTTGGGAAAACAGCAACCTGGATTTCTATTTATTTACCTTAATTAAATTAATTAATTTAACAAGTCTGAAGATTTCAGTGTTTTATAGGATACAGGTGTAAATATCTGGCGAGTAGAGTGTATATATTAAACTACATCTACTTAGCTAGTAAATATTTTGCTGCATTAGTTTGCTCATTCCCAAGCAATCAGTTGTGAACTCCAGTGTTGTAACGGGTCCACAGGGAACATTTGTGCTTTGGTTGGCACTTAGATTAAATTCATCAAATGATTTTTTTTTTCCCCCTTCAAGGCTGACATTTCAGAATGTTTTTTCTTTTTTTTAAAGGTTGTGTGCCAACTGCCAAAGTCAATTAATTAAATGGTAAATCTGAAATTTGTAGGGGAAGACTATTATTCCATTTTGCTCTGCGACCTTGGAAGAGTGAAGATTTAATCCGCAAAACACATGGTTTACCAGAGGGTTCTGATCTGCTTGTACTGAAAGTAAAAGCAAAAGATTTTTTTTTTTGTCAAATTAGGGATTACCTCAAGGGTGGGATTTTTCTTCCTGCTTTTAATATTCTGTGGTAGTAAGCATATCCTTTGAGTTCTTCCCATACTTGATGGCTTGAAGAAGTCAGCAGTTAGTAGAAAGAAAATGTGCAAAATTTGGGGGCTCTTTTTCCATTAATTTTGAGACTATTTATTCCTTGAGTGCATTACAGACAGCCCCAGAATTTGAGATTCCTACATCGCTCAAAGAGCTTCAGATCAGTAAAGGAGATAGTAAGAGTGAAATTCAATAGTCATGAGTAAAATGTTTGTATTCTAGGGAAGTGCAAGTATCACAAATTACCACCAAAATCACTTCTCCTGAGGAGTGTATCTGCCTTCGGTGGCTACAAAGCCAGTGTGGTTGCAAAGCTTTGACCGGACCTTACTTCTTCCTTCTCTATACACTTTCAGTATATCTTACTAAACTTCCTGTTTTGAAATTTTTCTGCCATAAGAAACAAGTGGAAATGAGTGCAGCGCATTGACTGTTCTTTAGTTCTTAGTGTTCTATCATTGTTTTTATACTTTTTTTGTGTGTTTAAGTTTTTCCTGCCTGAAGATTGGATGCATCTTTATTTTTGGCGTCTGTGTGTGCATGGAGTGGGAACATAGTGCAAGGATGGAATGAAAAACTGTAGAAATGGTGAAGAGCACAGATGAGTCGATGTAGATGATACAGGATGCAGTGCTTTTCTCCCTTTGCCATTTGAAATTCTCTCATTTGTTTTACCACAGTTTCACATTCAGGACTTGTACCAAATTTCTGGCCTGCACAAAACTCTTATTTCACAGTGTGATTAAAAATAAGTACTTGCTTGTTTGGAAGGAGAATTGATGGTTCTTTGTGAAGGGGCAGAGTACATAGAACAGCCATTTGTGGTAGGGAGAAGCAGTGAAAACCACTTATTGCCAAGGACGTTTCTTAAATACACAATTTGTAGGAATTGCACATTTTATATATGAAGATACGGGAAATGTATGAATCCTACGACAATTCATAATCTTGCATTTATTTCTATTTTTTATTTTTGTCCTAGCTTTTATTTTTGTTTCTTTGTTCCTCTGCCATCTCTCTAGAACTGTTCTCCTTCTCCAGATACAGGCTATTTTGAAGTAAAGACATTTCACATGTTCCTGTTGAAATTGTTCCTCTCTGTGAAAGAAACTCACAGGTATGTTTACCCACAGAACCTGAGTAACTCAGATGTGAGAAGTGGGAGATCTTCAGCTCTGTTTTTCTACTGTAGAACTGTACATTCCTGCTGTACTTGATCTGAAAGGTATTTGAAGTAAAATATTAGCAAGAATGCTGCCACGAATGAGATAAATGAAGGATGCTTAGTGGTGGATAATGCTGAAGGTTGAAGTTCTTTGACTGAAGAGCTACAGCTTCTTCAAATTGTAAAGACTGCACTGTTTCTATCTATGCCTAAAAGGAGAATATCTGAGGAAATTTGGGTACCTTTAAACACTTGAAAGAATTTAGTGACAAAGCCAAGCAGTAGATGAGTGGAAAATCAGAACATTGAATTTTGTTTTAAATCTCATCTAAATCACCTGAAGTCTTGAGTAGGTCTAAAACTCAGCTGATGTGTGTTTAAAATTGCTACCAGTGGGATGGATTTGTTGATATTTGTCTCAGGGCAATGTTGTGCTGATAAATGTGTCAAGTTCTCACCTATTACAGTAATAACTGTACCATGTATGGATGTAGACAAATAAAAAGGTGTATTCAATGGTTTGTAAAACTTGGCAGAGAACAAATCTCATGAATGCTTCTAGTTGATCACTAGGCTATCAAAACTCCCTTTGCCAATGTTCGGTGGTTATCTACATTGCTTCTCTGCAAAATACCTGTGCCTCCCATGAGCTGTGAATCCAGTTTTTCAAGAGATCATTAAACATGAAAGCACTAAACATCCTAATTCTTTTCCCCTAAAGTTATATCTCAGCATTGTCTTCTTCAGTAGCCTTGTCTGCAGGAAGTGTAAAGTTTCCTGCTATGATTGTTTGAATGCTGCCAATTATCAGATCTGTTTTTGGCAGCTTTCCCCTCAACCTGCTGATTAGCTAATGTGCGGTTACTAATACAATATGGGAAACGGGTGTGAATGAAGAAGCAAAAGATTTATTAATTTCATGTGCTAAATACTGTTTGTAATATAATTATCAATACTGTGAAAAGAAATCCTGGCTTCTTGTGAAATGAGGCACAAGAATTTTGTACGGTAGATAGGCGTACGCACACACAATTTTCATTAGATTCATAGAATTTAAAGGCAGAAGAGGGACCATTAGAGCATCAAGTCTAACTACCTATAAAACACAGGCCACAGAATTTCATTCAGTTACCCTGTATCATAATTAATGGAAAGCGGGAGCCAGATCCAGACCTGGATGCACAGCGTTACCAAGCTGGAATAATGGTGATTTATACCAGCCGAGAAATTGGCAGTGGAAAGAAATGACAGCATGTTATGGATTCTTTTTTTGCATAAACCAAAATGAAAATGGTGACATATATTTTAACAGCAGTGATGAAAGAGACTTGATGGAAGTGAGTTTTGCAAAATATTTTAAACTTTAGAAGAAATGTTTTTTTACAAAACCTTTCTGGGATGACTGTGTTCCCTGTCATAATCAAAACTTGTCCCTCCGCTGAAGGAAAGGAACAAAGTTAACAGAAGAAAAATGTTTCTCTTTAAATTGAAACCTGTGCCAAGATTTGTATGTGTAATTAATTCGAGCCCTAGGATTTTAGTGGAGGAAGGAAGGGCTAAACCTGAGTTTTTCTAGAGCCAGCACTTGAACTCAGAAGTTCAAAGATTAAAAGTCTCAGGCGCTAAAATGTAGAACCCGTGATTTCTTTCATTAGGTTCTATATTTGGCAAAACAAATGTCTCATCACTCTTCTGTAGCCATCTGTACGCGTGTGTGGATGATGTTATTATACTTACTGCAGATAGAGCCTTATCATTTAGCTACAGACAGACTTCTACCTGCTCAGAGCTACAGGGTTTAAGAATGCACTCAGACAATATTGACATAGCCAACGCCATAACATCCTGTAATCTGCACACAAATGAAGGCATTCTGAAGACCAAAGCTCAACAAAAAAAAACAAACTTCCTTCCTGCTGCCTTAACCCAGGAGAGAGTGTTTAAAGGAAAATACTGGTGTGGGAAGAACACCCATCAGATTCCCTCAGATTCTCCATTGTGTCCTGTCAGTTCTGTCTCAGGAGAGGGCAAAATCTTTTCTGTTGTGTGATGCAAAAAGCTGTGTCTATGATGTTAGCATGCAGCATATATGCATAGGTTGCTCCAAAAGTAATGCCTTTTATTTATTTCCATGGAAACTATAATATGTACAAGGTCACAATAACACTATTTGATAAAGAAAACTTTCAGCTACAAAACTCTATTTTTTTTTTCAACATAGTCACCACCATTAGCTATGCATTTTTGTCAGCAATGAACAGGAGCTCACATGTCACACTTTCAAAGATCTACACCAGTGGAGATGACCCACTGTCACTGTTGCTACTGCTGAAATACATCACTCACTGCCTCACTGTGCTCACACTCACTGCTTGGTCTCCATCAGCATTCAGCAAGCATTGATTAATGTCACTTGGTGCCACTTTTTTCACATGGACAAATTCAATGATAGGCCTTTGCTTCACATGCACTTCTGTGTCAGATGCCATTTTGTCAGACTGCCCCTCTGCTGCAGTCACACAGCAATAAAGTGTAATGGAATACTGGCAGGAAGGTTCAGTATCTACTGCCATACTGCCACCATCCACTTCTGATGTCATGGGCCAACATTATAATATAGGATGCTTTACTTTCAGAACAACCCTCATAGAAAGGAAGACAGCTCCATATTGGAGTAACTGATTATGTGGATAGATAGCAGAGAAGTTCTCCTCTCATAATATTCATGTTTTCAGTGATTGTAAGTCAAAGGCTGATTAGAACTATTTTACACTTGCTTAAAAAAAGTAAACAGTAGTCATATATTTTAATGTTTCCTATACTTTCCCCAAAAGCTTTTCCTCTTAAAGGTTGGAAGTCTGCCTCAACATATAGCAGCACATTTTTTGTGCCACTGTCACGTGGAGGAAAAATTACAATAAAATGTTCTAGTGCTTACCAATAAGCCTTATTTTTGTCTCCCTTTTACTTTAAGCAGGACTAGAGAGTCCAACCCTTCCTTGAGAAATGATGTTACTCCTTGTCTTTACCCACAAAGATCTGTGTTCCC